TGATGATGATGATGATGATGATGATGATGATGATGATGATGATGATATCGTTGTTGTTGTTGCTGGTCGTCATTATTGGCTGGTGAATGAATTGCACTTGAGTGGGGCTGTTTCAAGACTCCTCTTCAGTCAGGCGTTGAGGCTTGGCCATGACGTCTATTCTGAAGAGGTCAATTCAAGAAATTCTATCCAACCAATTTTTATTTCCAAACAAACAGCTTGCTTACACAAAATCTCTGAGGCAGTCCTTAAAACGCAACTTTTGCCATATTTAATCAATGTCTCCTCTCAGCCTACCATTTGCAACCTGTCTGCGCGTCTGTTTGTCTGTGTGTGTGTGTGTGTGTGTGTGTCAACATAAGTGAGAACAGTCCCCTCTAAAGGTACTTTAGACATCCGTTCCTCTTAATTTTTGTTACTAGACCTGATATAAGGGTCGCATTCACCACATTTCATTCGAGCTGATGAAGGACTGATAGTTGAATTTTTCCACAATCCGATGAACCCAGTCTATTGCCATGGCGAATACAGATTTGGCTCGTCGACACTGCCAAGCGCCTGGCCCTGCTGGCACGAGGACACTCGTAGGAGACCACAGACTGCATACACTGCATCAAGCCAGATTCGAGTCCCGCTGGGGGCGGCAACAAAGTCCGTCTAGGCGAGGTCGAAGCTGTTAAGAGGCAAGACTGTTTAAAATGGAACGCAAAAGCAAGGCCTGTTCAACCGATTATGTGAAAATGCAATACTCTAGTCATAGTCATCAATCCAAAACCAACATAGTCAGAGCACAGTTCTTAGTTCGTCTCCTTCCGCCCGCACGACGTGTCGGAAGCCTCTTTTGGTTCGCCAAGTCACCCTGACGTTGTCGCGAGCCTGATCCGAGAATCGATCTACTTCGCGACCACAGGACGTATGCCATCAGAGAGACAGACGAACAAAAATGACCACCAGGCAGTCAGAACCGGCTGTAGCGTCCGTCCGCGAAGATGAGTGAAGAAGGGTCTCGAGAGAGACTCGCAACAGACCCCAAAAGCCTCGGCGACCAGCCTGCGCCACCAGAAACTCTGGAAGCTCCTCCCAACAGCCAAAGGCAGAAACCACCTCTTTGTACATTCGCGTCCGAGGTCTGCCCAAGGATCAACCCGAATGTCACCGAAGACAGTCATCGTCTGTGTACGTCTGTTTGCCTGCACGTGTTCGTGTGCGTCTGTACCACTACTACCGCTAAAATTACTGATTCCACTGTTATCAACAGCATTGTTAGAACCACTACTACTACTACTATTGAAACCACCGAATGGCCGAGTTGTGACGACATCTCGCGGCCCACAGAACAATGGTCTCACGCTTCCGATTGGTCGGATTGTCCCCGTCTTGTATCCAGTACCAGTTGTCTAGCCACAGTCTCGACGATTGCAGGCCCGGAACAGGTCAGGATTGAAATGTGCTCAACCGAAAGGCATGTTTTCTGTCACTCTTACTTCCTGCGGCTCACAAGACTCTACAGTCTGTCGCAATTTTGGTCCCATTTTGCTGGCATGTTGCCCTCCTCTTACTCTCTCCCCACAGTCATCATGCCTACACACACACACAAACAAAAGTACACACGCAAATATTGGTAGCTTAGAGGTGCCTTTTCGATTATGCAAAGAAGGACCCCCTCGACGGCTTTATGC